CTGGCATGCGTGCGGCCCGGGTTCGATCCTCAGCACCACATACAAAAAAGATGTTGTGTCCGCCAATAACTGAAAAATAAAATGTTGAAATTCTCTCTCCATCTCTCTCTTCTAAAAAAAAAAAAAAAAAAAAAAAGTGTCCAGAATTCCTTCCAGAATGCAAGTAAGTAATGATTTACCTTAAAAAAAAAATTCTTTAAATTGTTTTTACCTATATAGTTTTTTGGTGAGTTGGAGGAAAAAGGAGCTAGTAATGGCACTATGGGGCAAAGGAATTCTTTGATGTAAGCAACATAGAAGAATCCAAAATGATCACTAAGAAGATCCTCTCACCCCTCCATTGTGAAACTGAAGTGGAATCAATTACTCATTCTAAGTAAAAACATTTACCTCATCAGTAACCTGGTGAGCCCTCAGTTGAATCTCTTCTGATGACATATTATCCATGATGAATCGAAATTCTATCAGGCACAGAAATGTAAATGTAGATAATCTATAAGAATAAGGATACATGAACATTTGTTTGAGCAAAGAGCATGGATTTACAAAATTTGGGTTCATAGGCAGACAGGATAAATATCTGATCTCTTTATCTACCTGTCTATCTAAATCATAGAAATTAAGGCTAAGAGAGGAAAAGCGGATGTTTAATGGTAGTTAGCATCAAGGGTGAACCTGAAATACAGGTGAAGTACTCTTTCCCTCTACTTTGAAAAACAAGGCATCCGATTGGAAGGCAAGCTCCAAGAGACTATTAAAATTAATTCTTAAGGGCTGGGGATGTGGCTCAAGCGGTAGCGCGCTCACCTGGCATGCGTGCGGCCCGGGTTCGATCCTCAGCACCACATACCAACAAAGATGTTGTGTCCACCGAAAACTAAAAAATAAATATTAAAAAAAAAAATTCTCTCTCTCTCTCTCTCTCTCTAAAAAAAAAAAATTAACTCTTAAGTATGGTGGCACATGCCTGTAATTCCAGCGATTCTAGAGGCTGGGACAGGAGAATCAATTTTAAGGCCAATCTGGGCAACTTCAAAATCTTGTCTCAAAAAGAAAAAAAAAGGCAGGAGGTAAGGGGCAGTGCAGGGGGTGTCATTCAGTGGTAGAGCACCCCTGGGTTAAATCTCTAGTACCACACACACAAAATAAAGAGAGGAAGAAAGGAAGAGAGAAAGAGAGGAGGAGGAGGAGGAGGAGGAGGAGGAGGAGAATTATTCTTGATTGTACAATGTTCTTTATATGTTGTCTGAATAAAGTCTAAGTAAGGAAAGTAACATATTTCAAAGTGTTGTGAATGAAGAACACAGGATTCATTTCTAAAATATGCCACTTGTCCAAGATAGTCATAGGAGGAAATGAAATATTTTTCATTCTTTTTTTAAAGTATTTATTTTTTTAGTTGTAATTGGACACAATATCTTTATTTAATTTTATGCGGTGCTGAGGACTGAACCCAGGGTGCGCACATGCTAGGTGAGTGCTCTACCGCTGAGCAACAACCCCGGCCCCACATTCTTTTTTTTTTTTTATTTGTTCTACTTAGTTGTACATGACAGCAGAATGCATTTTAATTCATCATACACAAATGGAGTGCAACATTTCAATTTTCTGGCTGTACGTGATGTAGAGACACACCATTCATGCAATCATACATGCACCTAGTAATGAGGTCCAACTCATTCTATCATCTTTCCTACCCTCAAAACCCCTCCCAACCCTCCCCTTATTTTTCATTCTTAACAAAGAAAGGGTATAAAGCACTCAGAAAAGAGCTAAGGTTTTTATTATGAAAGACTCCTGTCATCCAATTATTTGTATTATGTGTCGTTTTATTGAAGTTTCTAAGAAAACAAACGATATTTCTCTAATACACAGTAACTCAGAAACAACAACAACAAAAAAAACCTGTAGACATTCAACTTAAAAAATAAAACATTTGGTTAGGTATTATTCAGTTCCACTATTACAAGAAGTCACATAAGTAATAAGCACTGTGGGATGGCTCTAGGTTCTTTTTATCTTTACATTTACTAGCTTTATATTAAATTTTTGAAAACTAATTTATCAAAGCTCTGTCAGTGACCAAGATAAAGTCTGGTTCACATTTTAGAATCAGTCTTGGTCACAACTTGAAGGGTGGGGATGTTACTGGCTTCTATCTAGTGGACAGAGGAAAGGGAAGCTACTAAACACCCTTTAACACTTTTGGTGAAAGTTCTTTAACAAAGAATGATCCCAGCCAAAATGCTAAAGGGCTGAGGTGAGAAACCCTGCTATGCACTAATCACTGATAAACAGAAAACCTAATAACCCAGGTAAGGCACAACTCTTGGAGAGTAATTGTTGTATCTTTGTATCTCTAACACCTAACAAGATCTGACAGTATCGCTACTCTGAAAATGTGCTAAATGAACAAATAAATAGAGAAACAGGGTGTACTTTCAAAGTAAAGTGACTCTTAGGAACAAAGATACATTTAACTGCAGTACAAAGACTGCAAACCACCACTAGAATCAGGAACCAAAAACTATTTTTACATGAACAGCTTGCTGGTCAGATACAAACCTTTTCAGTAGAGGATGGTAGTATAGCTCAGTGGCAGAGCACTTGCCTAGCATGTTCAAGGTCCTGGGTTCAACCTCCAACACAGCAAAACAAAAACAAACAAAAGTACCCAAACCTTTTCAATCACTTTTAGTAAGGAATATTACTAATCCTAGTGGTACTAGTACTAGATGTACTACCAATTTCTACTTTTAATAGAATCATCTTTGATGACCAAATACATGTCAAATGGAAGAAGGCAACACAATCAGAATCCTTTTCATAATTCTACTGTTCCAAATAAATGTTTTAAGGTACTAGGGATTGAACCAGAGGCAATTTACCACTGAGTTATATCCCCAACCCTTTTTATTTTGAGACAAGATCTTGATAACTTACTAAGGGTCTCACTAAATTGCTGAGGCTGGTATTAAACTTGCAATCTGTCTGCCTCAGCACCTTCTCCCTACATGCCCCCCACTTTCTGGGATTACAGGTGTGTGCCACTGTGCCTGGCCATTTTAAGGTTTAATTAAGTGTGCTAAACACAGTGGCACAAGCCTGTAATCCAATGACTTGGAAGGATTAGCCAAGAGGATCACAAGTTTGAGGCCAAACTGGACAATTTAGTGAGATTCTGTCTCAAAACAAAATTTAAAAAGGGCTAGGAATGATGCTCAGTGGTAGAATGTCCCAGTACAACAAAGGCCTGATTCCAAGAGTCAGGCCTTCTTTTTTTTTTTTTTCTTTTAAATCATTATTTATTTGACAGATAACTTCTGAATTAATATAAAGAAATGACAATAACTTATATATACATCCATTAAAAACATTTTCATTAAGCACCAAGTCGAACAGTTTCTCATCATTTTACCAAAAACACTTTTATCATTGAAAGACTGCCTCAAACTTAGTTTTGCTGGGGTGGGGGGGATGTGGGGGGAGATACCAGCGATTGAACTCAGGGGCATTCAACTACTGAGCCACATCCCCAGCCCAATTTTATATTTTATTTAGAGACACAGTCTCACTGAGTTGCTCAGCACCTGGCTTTTGCTGAGGCTGGCTTTGAACCCACAATCCTCCTGCCTCAGCCTCCGGAGCCACTGGGATTACAGGTGTGTGCCATCACGCTGGGCATTTATTTAGGCTTTTAATCAGGAAACTTAAAGCTGCCAATCAGAGCTTCTAACTAGCATGAGATGACCAGGTTAAAACCCTATGAGTAAAAAATAACTTTTAAGTTTTGACCTATACACTCCAACCAAGGGGAGATACACTGGCCTCAGGCTAGTCATCACAGGTCATAGATCCACAAACCAACTATCATCCTCACAGCTCACAAACAAAATGAATAATGTATATACAAAGTGAGTACAAAACACATGTTCCTGTATATTCCAGGGGAGTGATGCTTATTGCCATGAGCATACAATGCTGCAAGGGGCACAAAAAAATTCACTAACCCACAAGACAGTGGAAGGAATAAAAGTCCTGTGCCCTGGAATGGAGTAGAGTCTTTGTGGACCAGGTAGCATCCAGGCCACACTAGGAACATGAGTGCATATCGAGGCACATGGGGAGGGATCTTCAGGGTTGGAAAGGACAAAATGAACCAAGACACAGCCACAGACCTACTGACTATTCAGAAGACAGAGGAGTGTTTGTACTGGCTGAGGGATATAATCTAAGAGTTTCGTAAAATGGAGAAAAGAAAACCTCTTCTGACAAATCAGCAAAATATCTTCCCCACAGAGGACTCACATGCTCTCTGTGGAGGTGAGGAGCTGGGGTTCATTCACTCTGCAGGTCACCCTCCATCCCAAAGCCCTAGGCTCTTAGAATCAAATCCACTGAGCAAGAACTGTCCTTCATGTAAACTGCCTTTTCTCCAAAAAGTAAAACAAAATCACAAGCAAACAAAACAAAACTCAAAAGAAAAAGAATCAGACCAAGCTTTGACCCCTTGTCCATCACTTGTGTGCCAGCTGTCACACTAGGGAGACTGGGTCTGCTCTGTTACTCACACTGGTTCATTACTACGAGGCCTCCAGCATGTTGTGCTCCTAATACAGCTCCCTCAAGACAGCAAACACCACACAACACATAAACTCACACAACACATAAACTCAGCCAAACAAAAGGCAGCATCAACTTAAGGATCTACTATAATATTACTACACTAACCTAGCATAGTTTAACCTTTATTTCTGTCATATTTACAAAATATCTGCACTCTGTACTGCTATGGAAGCATTACAAATGTTGCATTAGATTCTTCTTGAGGTAGTTCAAAGTCTTGAGACAGCAAATTTAGATATTTTTCTCTACTACCATGGATGTGTAGTAACCGTAAAAGGCCTAAAACCAAATTCTTTCTCCCCAGATTCCAGGACTACTTTAATTTTTCCCCTCAGATTAAAACAAACTAACAACCGGAGGGGGGGGAACTATATATAAACTACATAAAATTTTTAAAAGGAGCAAAAGGCCAAGGGGGAAAAAAAAAAACAAAACCCTGTGGCAAACTAATAGTCTAAACTTTGCTATAGACAAAGCAAACTACATAAAATTTTAAAAAGGAGCAAAAGGCCAAGGGGAAAAAACAAAACAAAACCCTGTGGCAAACTAATAGTCTAAACTTTGCTATAGACAAAATGAAACCTCACTTTGTCTACCAAGCATTTTATAAAGTACTCAAGTAATTAATAGCTCATAAAAATTAGGGAAATTTTTAGGTGGAAATAAAATTAACACCAACTCATTCTCTGGCAAATAGTTGTTCTAAAATGCCATGTCCACACAGAGAGGTCTAGAGGAACTGTCTGCAACAGGCTACCCTGTAGGCCAGACCTCTCTCAGGTCTGCTTCAAAGGTACAGGAATATTGGCAGATGCTTGTTCCAGGTAGGCCAAGGGGGCCGAGGGACTTCGGCCGGCTTTTTGTGTT